ACGGGTCTAATACAAAAACCACGAAAAAAATGTCCCAAGTCAACCTATTCGAAATTTAAATTGTTATGTCATCGCAGTATCGCGCTGTCCGTAGAACAAATGAAGACTAAAGCGGAGTGTCGCGCTCTGTATACGATTTTAGCGCCCTACAAGTGCGGACACTTTTTAGCGCGGACCCGACGTCCATATAATTGTAAGTCAATGGGTATGGCCTTATTTATACCAAAGGTACGATGTTATATCGAAAGAAATAACAACAAAAGAGATTTGAAATTATGTGTCATGGGGTGGCACTCTGTAAGTTACAACTTATAAAATCAAATTTCTGATTACATTTACGCCTTTAAATCATTAAATAACTTCGTTTAGGTTTTTTCCCCTACCTGTCTTTATTTACTGCTAAAATCACGATCGATTATTAGCATTAAAATAACAACACTGTTGTAAGTTTGACAGATTGTACGTTAAAACAGTGACTTAAATGGTAACACTGTATAAAATGTGACATTAGCGGAAAATGGTTTTATATTATAAATCTGTCAAAAGTTTTAACAGTTATACATTGACGTACAAATAAATGGACGACGGGTCTAATACAAAAACCACGAAAAAAATGTCCCAAGTCAACCTATTCGAAATTTAAATTGTAATGTCATCGCAGTATCGCGCTGTCAGTAGAACAAATGAAGACTAAAGCGGAGTTTGGCGCTCTGTATACGATTTTAGTGCCTTACAAGTGCGGACACTATTTAGCGCGGACCCGACGTCCATATAATTGTAAGTCAATGCAGTTATATTAGAAAAAGTGGCTTCACCGATAACAATGTTTCTGTTTAAATTTTCTCCTGTTTGTCCAATAACCTCAATACAGAGTACTAAAAAAACCGAACTCAAAAGTCATTCATCCCCTAGTTTGCCACCCTTAGAGGTGGAATATTTTCTTCAAATTTAAATGGGACCAATATTGAGATACCCTCTTTCCAACAAATAAAGAATCATCAAAATCGGTTCACAACTGCCGGAATTATCACGTAACATAAAAAAATACTGTCTAACTAAGAACCTCCTCCTTTTTTGAAGTCGGTTAAAAAGGACAGGTTAAGGTCAGAAACCATACTGCCTCTTCTTTAGTGAAGAGTTAACAACTCTGATTTAGTCCTGTAAGTAAACAGCTTTTATAACAGATGGCGCACACTAAAATCTAGAACTGATTTGTGACAACACGGAAAGTCGCTTCCTGTTCATTTGTTTAAATTCTGTCGTTTTTGAAGGTGGGAGTAAAATGACAGTTCACTTTTTTTTTAATAATTTATTTCTGGCCATGGAAACAAAGTCGTTCAGCCGAAAACATAAAAATAAGTTTTTCTGTAAATATGGCCGCCACAAAGAGGATAGGCAATTTGAGGCAATTTGTGTTTGGATTGACTCGGGATTCCTTAGAACGGGCCGATACGGGTATTTTAGTTCGAGATTCGTATAATTTCGCGTTTTAATCTTCGACTAAGGCGCAATAGCACTATCCTATTCCACTTTAAACTAGATTTCACAAAATAATTGAAAGTCAAAATAAAAACGACACTTTTCCCTCCAAAAGGTCCAGAGCGAATCATGACAGTTCACTGCGCAAAAGTGTTGCCCACTTGAAAGCAGCTAGTGATGACAGTGGATAAATATTCTATCGATATCGATTGAATGTTGGTTACACTTATTCAATAAATAGTCGAACTTATTTCATTTGAATCATCATGGGCTCGTTTTTCGTCCAACTACTGGGCACAGGTTCATTTGAATTGTCATTTATTGTAAGTTTATACATACATACGCTACAATTAGAACATGTCTTTTAAACTGCCTCCGTGGCCGAACGGTTACCATGCCGGACTGCCACGCAGAGGTCCCAGGTTCGATTCCCGGGCCGGGAGAAATAGTTGTATGGCCTACAATTATTTCTCTCGTGAGTTTGGGTGTAATTTGTGGTTGTCTATGTGTGTGTCCATGGCACCCGCGACACAGGGTTTCCCTAGTGCGGGGCTATGTCGAGTGTGTGCGTTATTTAAAAAAAAAAAAAAAAAAAAAAAAAAAAAAACTACAAAGAGGAGACAGATTTTAAAGTTTTTCATTTCAATTCAATGTAGATAATCAAATTCGCCTGTTCTTATTAAAATGTATATGAATAATAATGAATGGTCGGAAAAAGGTGTTCCACATATATAGATACATGTATCTATATCATGTATCGAATTCCGGATATGATTTTACTGTGTCGTAGGACAAACTGCTGACCTAGGAAGTCGAAGTTGGATTTTAAAGTAATTCTAACAGTGCCATGTAAAAAAATGAAGTAGATAACTGACAGCCTTGTTGCCGTTCCGTCAATGCGACTGTCAATATGTGGGGCGCGGTGTGGTATATAAAGCTAGGGAGGGGCGGAGAGTGACTTCTGTCAGCTTTGGTAAACGGTCAGTTATCTACTGCATTTTTTTACATTGGAATTACTTTAAAATCAAACTTCGACTTCCTAGATCAATCGTTTTGTCTTACAATACAATAAAACCATTTCCGGAAATACGGAAATAGAAAAGTAATTAATTAACTCTATGTCGCTCCTTTTAACTATATCCATACATGTATCTATTTATATATCGCAACCCTGCTATTGTCATTTCACTCCGTCTTCAAAAAAGACAGACTATAGCATATTAAGTCACTTATTGTAAACTTGAATGGTTAACATTGACTTACAATTATATGGACGTCGGGTCCGCGCTAAAAAGTGTCCGCACTTGTAAGGCGCTAAAATCGTATACAGAGCGCGACACTCCGCTTTAGTCTTCATTTGTTCTACTGACAGCGCGATACTGCGATGACATAACAATTTAAATTTCGAATAGGTTGACTTGGGACATTTTTTTCGTGGTTTTTGTATTAGACCCGTCGTCCATTTATTTGTAAGTCAATGATGGTTAAGGAAAGTTTTGATCATATCTTTTTTAAATTACTGATACACATAATATAAAGGTTCAAATAATACTTTAGAGCGCTATCTATTAGCACCCTATTGAACTACGTCGTTGAAATCTGTTATCGAAACATATTTTTTTTGCGTTTACTTATCTATATCACACCGAAACCATAAATTAAAAAAAATAGATTTTTTTTAAATTCACCTGCATTATTACTTACACCGGCCGGCCCCATTTTATACATTATATAAAAAATAAATTATAACATTATAAAAAATAAGTACAACAAATTTTACAACTAAGTAAATCACTGTCCAGGGACATGGAAACAAAATAAAAAAAACCGAAAATAATAACCACTACTAGTTAATTTCTATAAACGTAATCTACCTTTACAGGTTCAATTACACGCTTTATCACTTCATGTTAAGGTATAAATTGTCTTTACGCATTTGTCGTCCTATTTTCGTCATATTAGTGCACAGGTCGTGGTCTCTGTAAAGAAAAAAACATGACTTTTTTTATATCTAGCAACAACAAAAGAAGCACATACAATACCGCAATACCGATGTTGCTACTGCTAGAGTAGTTTGCTTTAGATACTTCCCTACTATAATGTTCTACGGGATTGTCATGTAGGGTAAATCGGCAGACATCGAGTATATAACCAGAAAGAGAGACGAAATGTCATTTAATTTGTTTCAAAGTTATCTTGCCAAATGATTAGGGTGACAACTGCGCTCTGATTGGCCAGCCCGAATTCGAAACAATTGACGGGTGTCGTCAATTGTTTCACTTCAAATCGACCAGTTTAACTTGAACTACTATAATGGACGTGATTGAAAAATTACATGTCTAATATTTAATTAACGATGAAATTTGATTCCGTTTGTTTTGTAATTAGAAGTTTTTCCCCACACCACCGAATGGAACAGCACGCCATCGTTGGAGATATCTTTATTACAATAAATACAGAATACTTTTGGAATATACGGAGAAGTACACACAGGTCAGTTGTTGGCGCTGTACTATTTCAGCTTTCTCATTTGTGATTTCAGCGCAAACGAGAGTTGATATTTAAAAGTGATATAAGGCCCATTTACCTGATGAGTTGCCAGGGATGGATGGCCCTTATTTCGTCTCTATTTCTGGTTACATGATGGCGGCATATATACAAACCATATATGTATTGCAGAAACAAGCGGTTCGTTCTGTGTAAAGTCTAGGCTCTCGGTTTTCTCTCAGAGAAAAGTTTAAGGAGACTGGTATCATGACTTGACACAGTACATTTACTCAAATATTTTGTATGCCCTTAATAATATACATAATTTCATTAAGAAAGAAGATACCCATAATATTAACCTTAGAACCAAGTCCAAACTCATGGTATCACGATTACGTTTAACCAAGGTAAACGATTCTTTTATGGGGAACTGGATATGTTTTTACAATAAGATTCCGAGGAATATAATATTAAGACTATCATTTCCTAGGTTTAAAACTTACATTAAAAGTATTTTAATTGAAAAGTCATATTACAAAATTGAAGAGTATGTTTTAGATAAAGAAGTATGGAAAGACAACAAGAGGCTAGATTCCACACAATTATGACTCAAAGTGTATTCCATAGCATTTAAGTTTATTTGAAAATAGCAATCCCTAGAGTTTCTTGCTCGTTCTTCTCAGGGAGGTCAGCGTAGTGAACGAGTAGTAGGTTAAAAAAATGACGTTTTCAAGTGTAAAAATGGAATAAGCGATTCTTTGACTTTGACTTCGAAACAATAATGTTTTAAAGGTATAGCTTACCTAACATCTCCCCATCCTCCATTCCCCTTGACGAGTTTTTTGTTCTGCTTCACACCCCCCGCTGTGACAGTGGAGACAACCCGGGCGGGGAACATGTACTTCTTGGCGTCTTTTAGAAGACGCTGTACCTTGTTTACTACTGTTGAAGGATTGCAGTTCGATTTCTTGTGGTGTATACCGCTGGAATGAAAGTTTACAATTAATTACAATAATAATTGTTTTGTCCGAAAATGGGTTAATTCTATTCCGCCTCACCCATCGAGTATGTGACCAGAAATAGAGACGAAATGTAATTTGATTTGTTTGAAAACTATTCTGCCAAATCATTACGGTGACAGCTGCGCTCACTGCGCAAATGACGGGTGACGAACTTAGCTACAATTGAAAAATTACATATTTAATATTTAATTACCGATGAAATGTGGTTCCGTTTGTTTTGCTGTTTTTACCACACCACCGAATGGAACAACCCCCGTTGTTAGAGATATTATCTTTATTACAATAAATACAGAATATTTTTGAAACACACAGGTCTGTTGTTGGCGCTGTACTATTTCAGTTTTCTAATTTGTGATTTCAGCGCAAACGAGAGTTGATATTTATCACTATTTCTTTTATGGCTCCATCATTACGAGAAATGATGATTTTGTCACGGTTGAAAGAAAAAAAACAAAACAAAAAAAAATCGCTAAGCTCTAATAGGACATTAACCGGTGTTGGTAAGTTGGACCACGGGAGTACTTGTAAAACAAAAGACAACATTTATAAATATATGTTATTTAAGTGGATAAATTTACATAGAGTAACAATATGGGGGAGAACACTAAAGTTAAGAGGTTATTTATGTTAATGGGGCGGGGGAATTTTGGAGAAAGTAAGTTATAAAGTGGAACAGCAATATTAGGGCAATTGAAAAAATGTGTTCCAAGGTACCGTCTTCTAGGCCGCACTCGCACAGCGAGTGATCTCGGACTCTGATTTTACGCAAAAATACAGGGGTGCAAACATGACCTAAGCGCAAACGAATAATAGTGGAAGTGATGTTTTTAGGCAAATCGCGACGTTTAAAAAACCAGGGTTTAGTGGGTAGATTTGGTTGGAGGTTACCATAGTGGAGTTGATATTTAAAAGCGATATAAGGCCCATTTGCCTGACAAGTTGCCAGGGATGGAAGGCACTCATTTCGTCTCTATTTCTGGTTATATACTCCATGGCCTCACTGTACTAAAACTAATTTAGATGATTCCTGTGACAGTTCATAATAATGTGCACAATATGACTTTGTAACAACATGAATTTATTTACGTATTTAATTAACAATTTTTATTGAATTTTTTATTGAATTAATATTCAATTATTTTTTGTGAAATTAGTCCACTAGTTTGTTTTAATTAATACAAAGGTCGAACAATTAGAAAAAGTTAACAGAAAAAAATAACAAACTAGTGGGAGTAACCACACGAAAAAGAATTAAATTACCACTTGCTAACATGGTTAGATGGCGCTATTCCTAAACAAAATAAAGGAATAGCCGGCAGTATCCATAAAAACGTATGCAATAAGCGACATCTAGTTGATTTGTTTGGTATCACTAGGAATTAGAATAGTTTTGATAAATTGCAGTTGGCCAATGTTTTTTATTTTATATCGTGTAACGGGACGGACAAGTCGTGCGCCTGATGGTAATCTACACGCCTAACGGTTACAGTGCCACTCAGAGCTAGTAACACACCTTATTAATAGTTGTTTTACTATGTCGTTATATCCCGACGAATTAAAGGTCGGTCTAATAAGACCCATATATAAAAAAGGTTCCCATACAGACCTAAATAATTACAGACCGATTACGATATTACCTGCCATCGATAAGATTATTGAGAGGTACATCGGGAATGAAATAAACAAGTTTTTATCTAATCACAACGTCATTAATAATAGACAATATGGTTTCCAAAGCCACCGAAGTACATCTCAATTATTGTCTCGATTTACCAATGAGGTCAACGAGTACTTAAATGACCGGCAACATGTGCTCATTATTTTTATTGACTTTAGCAAGGCATTCGACACTTTAAATTACAACACACTTTTTTCAAAACTAGAACAAAATGGAATACAGGGTCCACTACTTGAATGGTTTGTAAACTATCACAGTAACCGACGTACATGCGTAAACATAGCTGGGGCGTTAAGTGACAGTATTTTAACTGAGGAGGGCACAGCACAAGGTTCAATATTAGGACCTACGGAGTATTTGATGTATGTGAACGATATGTGTAACATTTTCACTTGCGGATCGGTATACCAATTCGCCGACGACACCTGCTTAATTTCCGCACATAAAGATATTAGCGAGGCACAGAAAATACTACAGCACAACTACGATCAAATATTTAAGTGGTCTCACGACGTCGGGCTCGTTATTAACGCGGAAAAAACAAAAATGTTACATGTACATTCTCCATATATTAAATCACCTTTGACACCGACTATTGTAGCACACACACACGAATGTTTTCATAATGTCCAATCGAGAGCATGCGCCTGCGGTACCCTACAGTTAGTCGATCAGCATATTTACCTAGGACTTACTATAGACAAATCATTTAACTGGAGACCGCACATAGAAAACGTATGCAATAGACTAAGAGCAATTGCGGCGAAACTGTCTATATTAAAGTACAAGCTTCCATACAAGCTACTTAGAATAATGTATATGTCTCTTGCCGACTCCATAATAGACTATGGTTTATGTAGTTACGGGCGCACTTTTCCGACCTACTTAGACAATATCTACAAATTACAGTTATCTTTGCTTAAATTAATTGTTCCGTCCAGCGTAAAAATAAAATTCAATGATAACTACGATAAATTGTTTGACTACTGTAAGATTATTAATGTTCACGATAAAGTTAAAATGCAATTCCTATGTCAGGAATATGAGTATGGTAGGCACAATCTACGTAAAAGAACACGTACTGAACAGCTGCGCTCGCTGTCGTACCTGCCGACTTTTGTTTTGCCGGGATATAACAACGTATACGGCATGCGCAAGCCGGTTTACTTACTGCCTAAAATCTTGAACGACCTACCTAATACAGTCATAATTGACATAGAGGGTAATGTAAAAAAATGTAAAGCTGTTCTAAAGAGACACTACCTGGGTTTGTAGTGTCGCTTTAGAATAGCTTATATAAACAACGTAATATTTACTTCTCTTTTTGTTTGTTTTAATCTGAACACTAAATTTGTTTAAAAACCTATTATAATAGTAATAATTGTATCGAGCCAGATAGCTCATCGCTGGGTGTTTAAACCACGAAGTTTCTTGCCTAGCGATAAGTATTGATTAATTGTAAAACTTTTGAATTTGAATAAATTAAAAAAAAAAAAAAAAAAAAGCTTTAAATTCCAAAAAAACCGAGGGGCACTGCCAATGCAAAAAAAAAGGATCATCAAAATCGGTTTACAAATGTGTGATCGCGTAATAAACACACATAAAAATATTGTCGAATATTTAATGGTTAAAAATAGCTATATGGTACTCGTCGCGACATCTGGTGTACAAACAGGTACTAAATACTCGACTACACCGTTTTGTATCGCGATTAACAGTTCTCTTGTTTTATTTGTCCATGATATTACTTAAAGATGAACTTACCATTCTCCAATATGAAACACCCTAGGCCCCTTCGATAGGACCACGTGGAATTTTTCTCTGCCAGGCAAATTCTGAGATAAGTGCAGTAGAGAAAAGTCCCAATTGTAGTCGTCGTAGGCGCAGAACTGTTTCTGGTTCAATTTTATCAGGTTCCAGACGGTTCTGGGGATTTTTTAAATATTAATAAATAATATAATATTAATAACTAACTTAAATAATAAACAAAACAAAATTCGAAAAAAAAAACAAAAGGACGAATTTTGTGAAAAAAAAATAAAGAAACAAACAACAAAATTTAAAAAGATGTCCGGTCCGGAATCGACATATTATCTCTCCTTAAAAGACTTCGTGACATTCGAAAAAAAAACTACATGCAATAACTACCAGAAAAACTGAAGTATATAATTTACCTGTTAAAACCAAACCCCATGTTGTGCATACTGGAATGCCAAGGCGTAATTTCGAGCTGAAAAATATAATAAACCGTATTAATACTCGAAATAATATGTAAAAGTTGACAAGGTACCGCGGAACACCGGAGTGATGCTGCTTGTATTGATTTTATGTCAATTTACTCTTCACAACAGAAAAATTAGAATTCTTTAGCAAAATGGAAAGAGTATAATGTAACTTGTAGATTTTCAAAAATATACAATAACAATACTGCCATCTTTATCATAATTAACGAAGTTGCATTTTGGTAACTAGTAGAGATAGTGGCACCAATTTTTTTAATGTCCATTACGCTGTTTCTATTCAAGGTATTAAAATAAAACTTATGTAATAACATAACATGCTGTTATAAATTGATTTACATAGATTCTGTGGCACAATCCAAAGGTGCTGATGATAGAAAATACGGGGTGTAGAAGGGTGATTTTCATGCTATGTCGAAAAAAGATGACAAATATCGAACAGTTGAAAATTTTATGTTCGACATAAGTCGATGAAGTGTGAGTCGATGTGTGGAATGGCCATAGTACGGCAAGAGTACAAGATATTCGCTGAAAAATGTACTTAACAATGAAGGTGTTGCAGTATAATATAAGAAGATCGTACATTTCACCAAAACCTGACATGTAAATTTTTTTACACACTTTTTATGTAACATGCATTTAAAATTAAATTTATACAATAGCATAAACAATAATTAGAATTTAATAAAAAAAAATAGGAAGTCAAAAATATAACAACAAGAGTTACATTTTATTTTTTATATTTATTGAGTAACAAAATTGTTCTACATCCGGTAATTTATTATAGCATTAGTATCTGAGTTACTTGTAATTAAAATACGTTATTTATGTAGTTACATGTATTTATATTTCCATCGCTACATAAAAATGTATTTTGTAATTTTAAATATACAGAGTGTTTTTTTAATGGCACAGTAATGCTACATAAAACTCACAGGTACATGCCGCGCCAGACATTCAAACCATCAACCTGGTATGAGCTATATTCTCTTATAGAGAATAAATAAGATTATTTTGGACAATAGAGAATTAGTGACATTTTTTGCATATGTTGAAATTTCGATATTACTTCGAAATGGTCAAAATGTCGAAGCACACGAGATTCGGCACCCAGAAATACAAAAACTGGACCCACTTCATGAATCTATGTCAATCAAACCTTAAAATTACCACAACATGCAACAAAACTGTATATCGCTAACTCTAAACACATTCCATCGTGTTGGTACTCGGCCAAAGATGCAGAAACTGTATTTTTGAGCTGTTTCTAAAGCTGCACACACTGGTACATTTAACGGATGAACGGGAAAAAATGAGAATATTAAATAGTAACATTGATATTTAAATAAATTAGAATTAAACATAGCGATTACATTAATCTCTGAGTAATCCGGCGCACGACAAAGCTGAGTTTGTGCCAATTTAGAATCAATACTACTTCATCAGGAATTCAAATTTTTCCCATACTAATACGGTTAATTTTGCTTGGGTCGAGCGACAGGGACATTGGCTTTATTTCAGAATATATTGCTTTACAAATGAAATTGAACCCATTTGAAAAATGCATAGTACACGTGTTTTATTTAGTTCAGTTGGTACAAAAAAATATTGGTGAATTTGCATTAGCACTAATTGAATTTTTTGACGGTTTTCTTGTAATATTTTGAGGTGTTTGTGTTTTTTACTATCGTGAAGATTTTTAGGAATTGTGTTTTCACACTGTATAGTAATCAGTGTATATCATCAATTTTACTCATTGACTTACAATTATATGGACGTCGGGTCCACGCTACAAAGTGTCCGAACTTATAGGGTGTTAAAATCGTATACAGAGCGTCATTCACGCTTTAGTCTTCGTTTGTTCGACTGACAGCGAAGCAAGCAAAATTAGACAGTACTGCGATGACATTACGATTTAAATTCAACGTTTTAGCTTTTTCATATTCCTTTACATGTCACTACGTTTAAATAGGTTGACTTGGGACATTTTTTTCGTGGTTTTTGTATTAGACCCGTCGTCCATTTATTTGTAAGTCAATGATTTTACTATATATTTTTTCCAAGGTGATTGATTCAACACTTCCACTGTTATACGAAACTACCAAAGCCATTTGAGGTTGTATAGACTCTTAAAATAAGGTATAGATTTCGACGATAGAAATGCGCCACTATTAACATGCTTTTACAAATGTTCCGCGTTACCAGTGTGTGTACATCGATGACGTAAGTATTGCAACAGATTGTACATCTTTAGATGGAGTCCAAATTACATGCTCTAGTATATAAATAAACAAGCATAATTACAACTTATATACTTCATGTATATTCATGAAGACGATTCTGTATATTATTTGAAATATGAAACTAATCCGCAATTCTCGAATTTGTCATGCTATGCGTAATTGTCAATTTTTTAACAGTATTTTTTTATATCAAATGACGGGACGAACAAGTCGCGCGCCTGGTGGTAAGCGACACGCCTGTCCATAACAGTTATAGTACCACAAAGAGTCCACTTCCTTGGAAGAACTCTTTCATAAGGAGATATATATTTATATGTATATTTATATGATGTCTTAATTATGTAAATAAAAATAAACAATACACTAAATTTAATTCCGTTCGCTCGAATTAATACCAATACGTTTATAAAATTAGTTTAGTTTTCAAAAATTTTCATAATAAATTTTGTATTTTAGTGAAACTGTTGTCAAGCTCTAAATAACTGGAATTACAGTCTACCATTAACAACATTGGTGGCGTTCGAAGTGTTAAAAATTATTCGAACGTATCCAGTCACAATGAAATATGCATAAAGTGCTTTTTTCATTCCAGTCGGCAACGAAAATTTAAGATTGTTATTTTATTTTTCTTTAGCTGATATAGCTCGTGTTTGTGCCAGTAATGTTTCTATCACCTACTGCCAATGATAGTTTAGCGTATTTTCTAGGTCATGTTGGTATAGTGATGTAACTTGAAAAAAAAAACCAAATGTCTTTTTCATATTTTTGAAAAAAAAAATGAAAACAGGAAAAAGAAACTATTTTTTGGTGCTTATAACAGGACGGGATACCTACTAAAAGCGGTAGTTTATCGTATCGCACGTGTTGGTGTTATTAGCTTTGTAATTATTACCTACTCACATAATGACAAGTTTGAATAAGTTTTTTGAACTTATTCAAAATGATGTGCTTGGAAAGTGAGCGTTATAAAATTGTAGAATTTTGTGTCAGCTATTGTGCAATACAAACACTGTAAAACAAAATGGCAACTCAAAAACATTGTACAAGTAAAGACTGAAAAGTTATTAACTGTCGCCATGTTGCAAATTTTAAAGGAACTATTTTTCCGATAGAGGGCACTAGTATCGAAGTCATAAGTCTATACTAGCACCACGCAACTGATCAGCCTTTGCCCATATGAAAATTGTCAATAAAAAAAAACAGCCTGTCTTTTTTGAACATTGAGTAAAATGACATGTTCATTGCACAAGTGTTGCCCGCTTGCAAGCAGCTAGTGATTGCAGTCGATAAATATTCTATCGATCATCGACTGAAAGCTTATGCAATAAATAGTTGCACTTATATACAATAAATAGTCCAACTTCTAGGCACGGGGCAATTTTTGTTAGTTTATCCATTTAGAATTATATCTATTAAAAATACAAAGAGGGACATTTTAAAGTTTTTCATTTTAATTCAATATAGATAATCAAATCGACCTGTTCTTGTTAAAATGAGTATCAATAAAAATTTATGTCGATACTAGTAGACCAACTGTCAAAAAGGCAATCCACAGTTCAGACATTTTTGATAAAATTTTTACCTTCTTTCTATCTATCGATAAAATTGTCGACAACAACTACATGACTATTTTAAATTTTATGAAAACTGGCAACCTTGCAAAGGTCATTTTACTTCGTCTTCAAAAAAGACAGACTATAAATAGCAGATATAATTTCAGAAGCATATTTTCAGCCAAACTAAATATCACTTGACAGTAAAATTTAAAACAGATATCATTGTCGTTGATCAATTTTAATCTGTTTGAATATTATTTTAACGTTAAAGTGTAATAACACTACCCGATTTTAAGGGTCCTGCGTCAAGAGTGGGCGTGGCCTCGAGTTTGGAGGCCGTTAATTAAACTTATATATTATTGTATCATCGGTGTATTCTAGAAAGAGCGAAAGCGCCATTTCAAAAAAAAATAAATTCAAGGCAACATATTTTAAGTTTCTATTACGATTTTAATTAAATTTAAGTTTTAAAATCGAATTTAAAACAGGACATAAATATTTTAAAAGATCTAAAAAAACTAAAACGTGCTCCCCAAAAACTTTTCCGAAAGGGTTTTCGCCCTTTTATACAAAACACCGAACCATATGACTCAAATTACAATTTAAGCCTTGAGATCGAGTAGTGTAGTAAGCATTATTATTTCAAACGGCGCGTGGTTTCGGTGTGCTGCCCTCTATGTCAAGATAAGAAACTACATCGTCAACGGCGCCCTCTACGGCACATGCTTATGTTATGAAACTTTGTCCACCGAGGTTTCATAACGACGCAGTCTTCGATAAGTAAAATAAGTAAATGAAATAAATACAATACAGCCAAGTGAGGCAAGAGGAACATAATTCAATTCAAATCAAATGTTTTGAAGCCTCAGCTTAAATTCAATTTTTTCCCGTACTAATACGGTTCACTTTGCTTGGGTCGAGAGGAAGGAACACTGGTTTTATTTCAAAATTTAAATTATTTTACTAACGAAACAAAAAAAAAAACGAAATATGTATATCGTATATATACGATATACATTTTTATTTATACGTGTTCTATTTAGAGCAGTTGATATTAAAAAAAGAATCATTGGTATATGTAAAGTATAGAATACAGTGGATTTCTTATAAAATTTCGAAGTAAGTCTGTTTATTTTCAATTGTCAAAATTCCTGTTGTCACACCGTATAGTAATCAGTATATTGTAATAAAGATAATACTCTAACTATGGAGGGCTGTTATATTCGGTGGTGTGGGAAAAACAGCAAAACATCTAATTACAAAACAAATGGAATCACATTTCATCGGTAATATTAGATACGTAATTTTTCAATTTTCGCCCATTACAGCAAAGCTCAAGTTAAACCGCTTGAAGTGAAACAATTGACGACACCGGTCAATTCTTTCGGTCAGTTGTCACCGTAATAATTTGGCAGAATAGTTTTCAAACAAATTAAATGACATTCCGTCTCTATTTCTGGTTGTATACTCAATGATCTTGCCTCACCTGACTTTATTAAATTTCACAATTCCTGAAGAGCAACAGTACTCCCAAAGAAGTTATCACTGCTTTTCTATTTAACCTACCCACTGTTAAAACCCAACTTGAGCATACGACTATAGATACGTCCACTCTTTGTAGCCACAGATATACAGGTTTATTTGTAACATATTAACAACCTCGCACGACTATATGACTAACATCATTAACAACAACTTTGCCAATAAATGTAACTTTTTCTTTCTTAATCGACATCATAAATTCGTGGAATTACATCCACGCCAAGTTTGTTATTGAAATCGGATTCATCCCCTAGTTTGCTGCTCTTAGAGGTGGAATATTGTCTTCAAATTTAAATGGGATCAATACTGAGGTACCCTCTTTCCAACAAAAAAATAATCATCGAAAGCGGTTCACAAATGAAATGCCGGAGTTCTGGAGCAGTCGCGTAAAATACACACAAAAAAATATCTCCAAAACCATAACAGTTATACTTGAATTAAAATATAACAATACACAGTCAGAAATATTACATTATGTTTGAAAGTCTAGTATCTAAATCAAGTAGAAGCTTGCAATATAGGAAAGTACTGTCGAATTCAGAACGTTCTCCATTGTTTTGAAAAAAAAAAAAACATTTAATTTTTTTTTACTATCAGACACTTTTTTAAATCGTATTTAGTTGGAAGGTAGTAAGTTTAAACGTGCAAGCGACTCGTGTCAAGCGACTCTTGCGTATTTACGCTAGCGAGTTCTTTCGCTACCGCACAGAGTTATCACCGTTTAAAGCGATTACGAGTAATTTGAATATACAAAATTTTTGTACGAAAATAAAATCTGATAAATTAATTAAAGTCGTGGAACAAAATAGCTGTTTATGATGTTAGTAATATATAGCCTGCGACGTTGTTAGCATTTTACAAATACCCATTATACAGCATTACCGCATTATATATTTATAGCACTTCTATATACATCCGGCCTATATACATACACCTTCATTTTCTAAGAAGCATTATCGTACTAGCATTAAAAAAAACCAAGCTCAAAATTATGAAAAGAATTACGAGTTACACTTTTCATAATTATTACTATAATCAACTATAATGAATTGATCTAATAATTATATAATTACTGACACGTGCAAAACCCAATAATTATTTTACATCCACCTTTTGTGTACTCGAGTACAAATTCGGGTAGACTTGGAAATTCCAGCTCTGGGTTTGTTGCTGCCGTCTTCTTCGCTCCTCATTAGCAGCTTTCACTTGTTGAATGTAGCTGAGGGTAAGCTGCTTCTTCCTCTGCGTAATCACTCCGATTTATTCAGTAATTATCATCATAATTATTGTAATGATTATACAGCGCATTATGCATGGCATTTTTCAATGATAATAAAATTGTCAACGAACGTTATCGAAGTAACGACTTACAATTGCGCTATATAAACAAATACATATACATAAATCCACTCATTATAAACAACAAAAATACACGTCACAACAGTTTAAAAAATCACTAAAATAGTAAAGGGTGTTTTAGACGTAAATTAAATATAATTAAACTTAAAAGCCGACCTTAAAGTATCTTAAACATAGACTGAAATTAAATGTAGATTTTTGTCTTTCGATACGTTTTCAATGCTTGTAAAATAACTGGTAATTTATAACGCCTGCGCTATCGAATCTCACGACCTACCTAAATCTTTTGTCTATATCTCTCTAAACTAAATCACAAATAATGGTTGACAAGTTTTATTTGAACTCGAATCATTTTGCGGAACTATAAATACCTGATATCAGGGAAATGAAACTATTTTTTCAGGCCAGTGTGTCTACTCAAACAATTACTCTCAAATAAGTAATACTCGACCAAAAGAAAGAAAGAAAAAAAAATCAGTACAAACACATGTTACAAGTACTATATTATGATTTTATGCTTGAAGTGTATTGCACTCAAAAGGCCCCAACTCAGGAAATACTGCGGCGGAGCCACAGCGCTGGTTTTCAGTGGACAAAAATAAGTACAACATATTAGTTTCGAAAAATAAAATTGCCATATGCTTACATTGTTTTCAAATAGTTCACTCTGTCTTCATGTATTTTACGGTTCTCGGCGCGTTATACAAATAAAATTTCTCCAGGTGTATTTTGCTGTATTCAAAATGTGCTCTTGAGTTTATTTTTGAAAGTATAAATGGATTTCATAGATTTCTCATAGATGGCGCTACGACTAAAAAGTCGTTGAAAAAACCAAATACAAAGACACGACGCAAGCACATAGAAAAATTCGTGAGGTCCGTTGGTTCATTCCGTGGCTTAGTTGGTATAGCGTCTGGCACGGTATGCAAAAGACGTCGGTTCGAATCCGACCGGATCGAAGGATTTTTTTCTGAGTGTTCGATCTTTGTATTAATAATTATAACAAACTAGTGGAGTAATTTCACAAAAATAATTGAATATCAATTCAATAAAAATTTAATTATAAATTGATTGATTATTAAAAGACGCATGATGTGAATGAAGCTCCATACTTGATATTGTCTTGATTTGGTCGAGTATTACTTATTTGACGGTAATTCTTTTGGAATGACATCATCGTCAACACGATTTGAGAACGGGAGTAGAATCCCCGACCTGAATCGGGTAACCTAACACAAATTCGATTTTTTTCCGAAATAACGTTTGTTGGAATTTTCATTACACCGAAAACCGAATTATAACGAAACCGTTGTTCTTTCAGGATATATTGGATGTTTATCGCAAATACACGATTAGGTTCGGTTAGGTTAGGTTAAGTTTGTTTTAAAAGAAGAAACATTGGCTCTGCACGGTGCTGGGGATTCGTCGTTAAGACGTTCTCCGGTACCACGGTGGGAGGACGAGCATCGTGAGGTTTCTAATGGGTATGCTCTTGAGGACAGACATAGTCCCCAGGAGAGAGTACCACATATCGTAACCACAAAGCGTAACGCATTCTCCTCGCAACAATAAAAAAAAGTTTAAAATAACAAACATTTTCCTTTCAAAATTACTTTCGAGGTTATGAAAATTCGAGCAAACGTTTATTTCTGGACAATGTTTGTTCTCGACTGCTTCAAGCTGCGACCACATAGCAAACTACTGTATTCTATGTACACGCTCTACACGCATTCGAGCGATTTGCAACGCGATGAAATTTCATCGGCTTCTTTATTGGAATTACAGCTATTTGCCAAGTTTTATTGAAATCGGTTACCGGAAAGTGCGCGAAACCGGATTCATCCCCTAGTTTGCCGTCCTTAGAGGTCGAATATTTTCTTCAAATTTAAATGTGACCAATACTGAGGTACCCTCTTTCCAACAAAATAAGAATCGTCAAACTCGGTTCACAAATGCCGGAGCTTTTTGGAAGTTGGTTAAAAAACAGTTTCATTCCCAATGTGTAATAATCGCGAAAACCTACGAACTCGATGCATATAATTTCTTTTATTTACACACATATCATAAACCCTCTGCGAAGTGTTCAAAAACCGCAAATTACGACCAACGTAAAGATAAACTGTTTTGTTAGAACACATTTCTTATCTGTGAAAATATTATTATTGCGACATTTAATTCGATTTTATTATTACATTAAAATTTCGAACATCTCTAAAAAACAAAACAATTTGATTCGACCTCAATTCTAATATCAGTCGAGATGAAGTTTTATTCGAAATGAAAATATCAATAGCAAACAATTTTGACAAATCTCACACGTTATTTGATATCTCATGATATGATACTTGGGCCGACTCTAGTTTGTCTATGAATTTAAAAAAGCTACGGTAGACATGCGTGAGAAAAGTTTTTATTTGCCGCCATTTACTTTGTTTTGTTGTTTATCACATCATACAGAGCTTATAATATGTGTATAGATAAAGCAGTGTATGTAAATGTACACAATTAGGCATTAAACCACTCGTGAGATGTTTATATTTAAACCCACACTCGTGTTTTAATGCTTTTCATTATGCAACAGTCACATAAACTACCAAATTTTAATGTAAACAAAATTGATATTCAAATTCAGCACCAGCGCTACCAGTTTAGAGTTCAAAATAAACCAGTCAGCCTTTCAATTAAATGAAAACAAGGCAAACCTTTGGCGTCTGGGTGTACATCTTCATTTCCTTTAAATTGATTAGCCGTTTCCGCGGTTTCTGATTTTTTCGCTTCTTTTCATCACGTCGCTTTAAATTACACACCTCTATTATTTTTTTCCTTCAACTAATTTAAACTCCCTGCATACTACTACAAACTTTAAACCACAAGATTCACCCAATTTTAATCTTACAAAAACCGGCTTACAAAAGAAACCACAACGATAGGTAACCGACAGTGCATTATGGAGTTATAACAATTAAGATAAATAAAACCTCCTCTACTACACGTCGGTAAGTAAAAGGAAAAACAAACCGTTTAAGCCAATAGCATTTGTTCTACCATTGACCTGTTTACAAATTAACAGAAAAAGAAATAACTACTTTGAAGATCTTTGTCAAAAAAAATTGTATATCTTATTCACATTAAACTAGAAAATAAAGGAAGGAATTTCAAGAGGATCAGGCAAGACTTCACATGGTTTCGCAAAATTCCTGTGAAGTTTTATACCGTACCCAAAAAATTACAAATCGACGCTGGAAAGTTAAAACATGGAAAATATTACATGAGACCGATTTAAAGCAATAAAAAAAATTATAACTCTAATTTTATTTATCGAGTTCGTAGGTTTTCGCGATTGTGACACATAGGAAATGAAACTATTTTTCCGGATTTTCCGGACGGCCCTATGCGGGTCTCGAATAAAGGTCACAGGTTTACAGGTCAACTGTGACCAAGGGACCTGTACAGGGCCCGAAACGTTGGTTTGTTTGAAAAAAACAAATATACGCAAATATTTCGTTCCGTGGTTTAGTTGGCATAGCGTCTGGCACGGTTTTCTAGAAGACGAACGAACGAATTTTTCTAAGTGTAAATCTTTGTATTAATAATTAAAACAAACTCTAGTGGAATAATTTCACAAAAATAATTGAATATCAATACAATAAAAATTTAGACATACGCAATTAAAATCCGGAAAAATAGTTTCATTTCCTATCTAATTTTATTTGTTATATGGAAAAGCTGAAACTTTCTAGTTTTCCATATAATAAATAAAAGTATAGCTATGTTTAGGAAAAGGAACTATTTTTCCGGATTTAAATCGCGTATATTTGTTTTTTCAAACAAACCGACGTTTCGGGCCCTTTACAGGTCCCATGGTCACGGTTGACTGACCTGTCAGTCAACAGGAATTTTGTGTAACAATCGCGAAAACCTAAGAACTCGATATATAGCTATGTTTTTTTTCATCAAAAAAAGTATTTTAAATCTCTCTCCTGTAATATTTTCCAAATGCAAGTTAGGCGTTTTACCTCTCCAGCGTCGAAATGTATCTACATTATATGAAAAAACCAAAGAATAGAAAACGCTTCAAACAGCAGTGAAAACACTAAAATTAATTTACTTACACGTTACATCTATAAAAAAAAAATTATTAAAAAAACAATATATCCCGTGTTGCAACAAAACTTGCAACAATATGAAATAACAAAGCAAACGCAAAAGGAAACAGAAAGAGAAAGAAAATAAAATACGTCATTAAATCAATTAATAAAAGATAACAAGAAAAATAATACTAATGATGAAATTAATATTCTAAGAAACAATTGAAAGTATAATAATATCCAAAACACCCAAACAATAAATAAACAATAAAGTGTTAAAGAAGTATAAGTGAAATTTTAGGCAGTGGTTTGTCATCATTACCACATACTACCGTTTGTGCTAGGCTTGGAAGAGAGCCAAGTAATCACTACGCTCTGACACTCATGTCTCGTCAATGTATTTGAACATTTCTGGGCTCAAACAAAAATTTACGTAAATGGAATCAGATTATTTTTATTAGGTCCAGTAATGTAATATAATTGGAATAATCTAATATTTTCGCTTTTGTCAATTATCAGATAGTTTCAGTAATGTTTTTGTTTTTGGACATAACATTACTGGGCCAAATTAATTAATGACCCTACTAGAGGGATCTGGTTTTTCCAGCTTTCGTGACCGTCAGGGTGGTTGCCTGAGGCGTTTTGCTTATTTGGTTGTATTTGCTACCTTTGATATATTCTAAGAAATTTAAAAAATACTTAATATCTGGATAGCGGCTGGTGGCCACTTTGTTCGGCATGAAGGAAGCAGATTTTCCAGTAGTACGTATTGCCAATAATTGCTACCTATTTGCTAGTTTCACAAATTAAAGGTATAAGCTTTTCATCAACATTGGTTAATCAAATATAACCATTTGACAATTTTGCGAAGAAGTGCCTGATTAAATTATAAAAGCAAAAGTATCAATTACCAGATGATGATGTTGCGTGATGTCCTGTGATGTTGTTATTTTTAGATATTATTACTGAACACAACAAAAAAAATCCCAGTTTGAAATTATCACGTTTCATTTGTACATTATTAATTACTTTTTACATTTTCCAGACTAGTTCAATTTCACTTGTACTTTTTAACACTGTAATTAAACAGACGGCAGCACACCAAGCAAACGACGAATCTTGTTCCGTTACTGGAGGCAATATTCGAACAAAAATGTATAATTTGATATGCTGCTGACTGTACTTAAATCAAATATTAGATTTCATGGCATTTATTACAAAAAGTGCACAGTTGGTGCAGTTGTTAGTAGTGAATTATAGCTGTCATTATCGTAGAATAGTAATTATATGTATAATCTAATAATTACTTTTGTATTATGATAATAATTATAATTACAATTAGGTATGGGAAATGGATGAAGCTATTTTGTGATCCGTGCGCCTAATGAGACATAAGGACGGGTAAAAATATTACAGATCGAGTAACAATTGCGTATTCCCGACTTCCCAGTTTGGCAAATGTTCTACTACGTTACACGTGGCACAGCGGTGCCTTCATGTGGAACTGAATAATTGTTTTTAGTTAAATAATATTGTTTTCGTTTTGTCTGTTTTATATTTATTGTTATGGATGATTTACATAAAAATCTAACTCCTAAACTTGTATTATTGCAATTTTGTTGTTAACATTTGAACATATGCACTGCCGTTAGACAGGGCGCGTATTTTTCGAGACTGTAGAGTTATTAGATTAGATTAGATTACAGTTATTAATTTTAGTAAAGTAAAGGTCGCTACAGATGCGCCGTAATATTTCGCACATCAAACTAAATACTGTCAAAATTAAAGAGTCAAAGTCAAACAATCGTTTATTCCGTGGGTCAAATATGTACACCTGACAACGTCATTATTAAGCTACTGCTCGTTCACTGTGCCCACTTTCCTGAGAAGAACGAGCAAGAAAGGGCTGGGAGAAATATTTGTATTGCCTACATTAATTTATCTCGTGAGTTTGGGTGTACTTTTTGGTTGTTTATGTGAGTCTATTGCACACAGGGTTTCCCGAGTGCGGGGCTATGTTAAGTGTGTGCGTTATTATGATTATTATTATTAAGAAACTCTAGGGATTGCTCTTTTCAAATACACTTAAATGCTATAGAATACACTTTGAATCATATTTGTGTGGAATCTAGACTCATGTTATCTTTCCGTGCTCTGATAAACACGTAGCCTACAATTTCGTAATACGACTTTTCAATTAAAATATTTCTAATATAAGTTCTAAACTTGAAAAATGGTAATATTAATATATACTCCAGAATCTTATTATAAAAATGTATACAGTTCTCCATAAAATAATCGTTTAGCTTAGTTAAACAAATAGAGAAAACTGTATTTGAATATTTGAAAAATATAATGAAGTGAATCAACGCATTTATAAATTGATAACATTGACTTACAATTACAGGGCGTTAAAATCGTATACAGAGCGTCATTCACGCTTTAGTCTTCGTTTGTTCGACTGACAGCGAAGCAAGCAAAATTAGACAGTACCGCGATGACATTAATTAATAATTTAAATTCAACGTTTTAGCTTTTTCATATTTCTTTACATGTCACTACGTTTAAATAGGTTGACTTTGGACATTTTTTTCGTAGTTTTTGTATTAGACCCGTCGTCCATTTATTTGTAAGTCAATAACTGATAATTACATTTTCACAGTATTTGATTTCTTGTGCAATTTATCAGAAACTAACTTTTTAATAAACGTTTTGATGAGGTTGGAGAATCTTACATCAGACATAAGCAAATAACGTAATCGGCCTTGTTTAACGAAAAGGTTTTGACTTTGTCTGCCTTAGTGTTTTTTTTATGTTACCAAGTGACGGGAAGAACAAGATTTAGATTTATTTTATTATCTTGTAAACTTTACATTATTATATACAATATATTGTATTACAAGAATCGTTACAAATAGTAATATAAGTTACATTTCAAAAAATTACAAATATCCAGTACAAGTTTTGTACTACGTAATTTTAACATAGTCATTGTAGTTATGTGAAATAATGTAGGAACATATTAAATAATATAATAATAATTATGTCAATATAATGAAGTTTATGTAATTTATTCATTTCTGTAAAATAATATCTATACCTAATAATCTATAAATTACAACATATATTACAAGACCATGTCCCTATATTCAGTGGAATAATACGCATTATCCAACAAAAAGTCTTTCAGTCGACGATAAAATGTTTCATCATTAGGCTCATTTTTTAAGTCAACGGGTAGGTGCTCATAATAAGCTCATAACAAGTCGTGCGCCTGGTGATAAGCGACACGCCTGCCCATAACAGTTTCAATTCCACAGATAGCTTTAAATCGCAAAGATGGGCACTGCCACTGCACCCGTTACCCCGGGACATAAATTGACTCTGTCACGTAAGCTGCGGTGAACACCGAATATTTTTATTATTATCACAAAATAACTTCATCTTTAATGTTAAAGAAAAAACCTTTTAAAGTCCCTCTTACCTTGTCACTAGTTGTATGATACTGAAAAGTCTTCAAGTAAGTTCCTAGACAAAGTATTTCACATTTCGGACAATTCTTGTCGGCTGTAGTGCGAAGCAGGTCTAACATGTGAATGAAATCTTCGGCTACGTAGTGGTCTTCTTCGATGAAGAGGACTAGACCTGGGAAGGATTTTGGTTGTTATTATGAAAATAATTATAATTTGTTAAATGTAATTATGAAAATAATTATACATTTTTAAAATATATTTATGAAAATTAGACGAGTTTATTATTAAGATTATGAGATATTGTAATTACAGATATCAGTATGATAAATTTTTTGGGATAAGATATATTTAACTCCACAGACTCGACGAGTAAAGAGAATGTAAATTTATGAAAATAAATTACCAGTATGATTAGCAGTGCACTGCAATTGATTGAATATCCTGTTCGCCTTCCACCACCAATGATGCTTTGTTTGCGTGTACTTTGCCTCTCTGTAGTGGCCGTGCACATCGGGATGCAGTGCGTTGTTGCATTTTAATTTCACTGCCCTGTAAATAAAGCATTATTTACATAATATCACTATTCCACTATAAATGCACAATTTTACTCAACTTTCAAACACAAACATTCTCCACCGTCTAACTTTTTTATAGGGCGTCTCCGGGCTATGGGACACGCAGAATAAATACTTTAAAATTATTGTAAATAGGATTATTATCTTGCTTGGAGATGTCATTAAAAAGGAGGAGGTTCCAATTCAGGAGTCTTCAAGTATTTTTTTGAACCGATTTTGATGATTCTTTTTTTTTGGAAAGGGTGGCAAACTAGGTGATGAATCAGGTTAAGCGCATTTTCCGTTAACATATTACAATAAACCTTGGCAAATAGATGTAATTCTACGAACTTTCGAGGTTGGGTTTGTTTAATAAAAAAAAATTATAATAAGTATAAAATTTAGTATTATTACACACAAACAAAAATTTTGACACTAAGTTACAGGACAAACAAGTCGTGTATGATGGTAAGCGACACGCCTGTCCATAACAGTTGCAGTGCCACTCAGAGCTTTAAATCACAAAGCTCTGAGAGGCACTGCCACTGCGCCCGTCACCCTGAAACCTAAGTTGACAAGTCCCATGTGCCTGTAATTTCACCAGCACCCGTACCCTTCTAAACCGGAACGTAGTATTGCTCACAAAGCTGTTTGGCGGCAGAAATAGATAAGATGGCAGTACTTCCCTGGACGAACTCTTTCACAAGGAGCTAGTTCATTGTCTTATTATACTTATACTATGGCTGTAACTGCCACGCAGAGATCTCGCGTTCGATTCCCAGGCACATGGGAGTTGTCAACTTATGTCTCAGGGCGCAATTGCAGTGTCCCTTTTGCGATTTAATAGTTTTCAAATACGGTTCATTTTGCTTGTAAAAAAAGGAGGAGGTTTTCAATTCAACTGCATGTTTTTTTTTGTACGTGTTTTACGCGATAACTACGGAACCGCAACCGATTTTCATGATTCTTTTTTTGTTGGAAAGGGGTACCTCCATAGTGGTCCCATTTAATTTTGAAGAAAATCATCCGCCTCTAAGGGTGGCTGTTCACACATGAAGATTAATTTTTATAAATAGCGCCAAAATTTTATTACAAGGAGCAATTATTTTAATGGTCGGTTTTGCTGTTCTCCAAATTCAAGGCGTTTTTCTCTCAATATACTTTGAGTAGTGAGAACCGATTTTTATTACCTCCTGTGTCAAGTCAAGGGTTTACGCGCTTTCCGGTAACCGATTTCTATAAACATTGGTAATATGTTTTGTAATTAATATTATATGTAATTCCACGTACTGTTGAGGTCGGTTTTTTTAGTACTCTGTACTGAGATTATTTACAAATGAAATTGAAGCTATTTGATATGTCGAC